CAATACCAGGGTTCTAGATGAAGGGTGTAGCTCTGAGACCCGGATCCTTTTCTAAGTGGAGAGAAGTAGTTCCTTTTCACATGGATATTATTCCCTATTTATAGGGAGGTGAAAGTTCATAGTTCGAGTATGAAATTACCACAATGGCATCGATGTCATCCTCAGGTGAGAGCTTCTGGTCTATCTGTGAGCTCTCTTTTCCTCAACTTCCGCTGCTTTCTCTTTGCCTTTTCCTGGCTTCTTCGTATTCTTCCCCATGTCTGGAAACACGGCCAAAGAGGCTCGGGTTCGGCATGAGGAAGAAGAGAGAGAGTTACCTGGACGACGCTAATACTATGATTTTTATTATTTAAAAATCGTATAGCCGAACGGCTACACTATGCGCTAGCGCCAGGCCTTTCCTTTTAAAAAAAAGGACGTATAGCCGCCCGGCTGTACTTATATTAAATATAATATACCTAAAGAGTATTGCCGTGAGGCTATACTATGGTTTTTTATTATTAAAAAAAATCATATAACAGTGCGGCTATACTATTTTTGACACGTGGCGAAACGGGGGCTAGCTGCCATGTGGTTGGTCTTTTATTATAAATTGTATAGCCCGCGGTTATACGATTTTGTTTATAATAGAAAACCGTAGTATAGCCTCGTGGCTATACCCCTTAAGTATATTATATTTAATGCGTATAGCCGCACGCCTATACTATTTATAATTTTAAAAAATAACACGTGGCGAAACGGGGCTAGCTGCCATGTGGGTGGTCTTTTTTATTATAGTATAGCCGCTCGGCTATACTTGTTTTTTCAATTGGGGTAATTACATTTTTGGTCACTGGGGTTAGGCCTGAATTTAAATTTGGTCACCACCTCTTAGAAAGAAAAGAACTTAAATCAAAACACTTAATAGCATGGCGATACATTTGGTCACCGAAATTTAAATTTTCCAATTTTCGTCACTATAGTTGTAGTCGTTAACAAACTATAATGTTAACCACACTTACCAAATCATTATAGTGCTTTTTTTTATAAACACCTTTATTGGAGTGTGGATTTTCGATATGGGATTTTCACAAATAACACCTCAAAAAATAAGCCTAAAAGAGAAATCCATATTTTTATTGTTGGTGTAATGTGGAAATATATTTAAAGCGTATAGCCGCGCGGCTATACTTATACTCCAAAAATATAATACCATACTGGTATAGTGTATTGCCGTGCAGTTATACTCGGTAAATATAGTTGCTTAACAGTATAGCCGACCGGCTATACTATAATATTGTAAAAGCATATCCGGAAGGTTATATTCCAAAAATAGAATATCATATCAGTATAGCCGATCGGCGATACTCGGTACGCTATACTCCAAAATAGAATATTTTAAAAGTATCGCCGAACGGCTATACTCCAAAAATATAATAACGTACAATAAAATAAAATCATGTAATAGTGCTTCTAGCTAATGGACCAAACAAATAGTATAGTCTGTCGTACAGCTATACTATGGTTTTTAGAGCACTTCCACCCATTTGTCATGGCAAAAGGCAAGGGCAAGGCAAAGGCTGTTACTATTCATGAGAATAGTGGCAGCCCTTGCAAAAGGCTTGTGGTGTTTCCACCCATTGTCATGGAAACCAAAGGGCAACTACTATTCACATGAGATATGAGGAGAGGAATTTGTATAGATTTTTGGTGTGGGAAGTGAAGAATATGACTAAGTATTTATTTTAAAAAATTCTGAAATTTTTTGGTATATTTTTAGATTTTTTTTCATTAATTTTTTTGTTATTGTTTCTGACGTTAGCAAACCCAGGCAACAGCCCATGCTGTTCTTGTCTTTGGGCCAACTCAAGCTTGTGGAGCCCACTAGCTACTCGGGCTGCATTTGCTCACTACGACATCGAACTAGGACTTGGGCCCTCTCCTGCTCGGGCCACAACTACAGCTGGAAGTGCTCTTATTATTAAAATGGGCGCTAGCCGCTAGGTGGGGCTTCTAATTTCTTATAAATAGTAAAGCCGCCGCGCTATACTATTTAGGCTATACTATTTTTCATTTTTTCATAAATAGTATAGCCGATGGGCTATACCGTAGTCTTTTATTTTTTTAAAAAATAGTATAGCCACCGGCTATACTCTTTATATACTAGGATCCCTTTTTTATTTTATTTTTATCTCGTTTCCCCTGCACCAAATCCGTGTATGACAAGTATCAGCGTCCCAAACTGAAGGATTTTAGTCCATTTTGGTGAGAGCAATAACGCTTGTGATGTGGCCAAAAGTAAAGCAAGAGCTTGTAATGTTGGAGTCAAACTAAATAGAGAATTAATTGAAATAAACATTTTCAGGGTCGTTATAACTTTTGAAGCTCATATGGTCTCAGATCAGAAACACTATGGCAAACAGTTATAATGTTACTTAATAATGCTCATTAAAATAAAATAAAAACTGCACTATAACTAAATACAATTTAATTCCATTTGTAACCCAGTTACCTGAGCATCAAAGTCTTCAACTTAGCTGAGGCTCATTGCTCTTATATAAATCCTTACCCTCTTCTCTCCAACCATCAACAAAGCCAATCTACCTAACCCTTTTCTGATATAGTGCAAAAGTAAGAGTTCCAGGTTTGCCAATAACCATGTCTAGAAAAGTTGAAGCAATATTTTCACTACTGCTAATGGCAGCATGTGCTGCAACTGGCCTGGCGCATGTACCACCCCCACCAGTATTGCCTCTCTTTCCACCTATCCCAGGCCTGTTGCCACCAGGGATCCCAGGGTTGCCGCTGCCAGGGAACCCGGATGACATAGCAAAGTGTTGGTCTTCACTTCAGAACGTTCCAGGGTGTGCATGGGAAATTTATACCTCAATCTCTACTGGTAAATTTGTAGTAGGCCCTGCTTGTTGCAAGGCCTTCCAAGCAATTGACCAGAATTGTGAGCTCTCTTTTCCTCAACTTTCGCTGCTTTCTCTTTGCCTTTTCCTGGCTTCTTTGTCTTCTTCCCCATGTCTGGAAATAAAGCCAAAGAGGCCTAGACTCGGCGCGAGGAAGAAGAGAGAATTATCTGGACAACGCTAATATTACAGTTTTTATTATAGAAAATTAGTTTAAAAATAGTATAGCCACGCGGCTGTACTAATGTGTGATGAGCTAGCGACAGGTGGGGCCTTTTTGTTTATGAACAGTGTAGCCGTTCGTTTTTTGTTTTTAATAAAAAAACGTATAGCCGATAGGCTAAACTCGGTTTTTGTTTTTGATAAAAAAAAGTAAATAGTATAGGGTTGTGCTCCGGATTTTAGCCAATCGGCTATACAGTTTGGACACGTGGCGAAATGGGCGCCAGTTTCAGGCGGGGCCTTTTTCTATAAATAGTATAGGGCTGTGCCCCGGATTTTTTTATTATAAAAAAAGAGTATCGCCGGCCGGCTGTACTCTCGATATTTTTTTTACTAAAAAAATAGTATAGGCGCCGGGCTTTACCTGGGTCTTTTTTTTATATAAATATTATAGCCGGACGGCTATACTCTTTACGTAAGACACCATTACCATTTTGAGTTGACCAGTAGTTTTTGGAAGACTTGTATTAAAATGATTTTCAGAAATGCTTGCCTCTTCTAGGAATGACAGATTTCCCAAGGACACTGGAATTGGACCTGATATTGAATTACTCAAAAGAGCAAGGAGGCGTAAATGTCTGAAATTTCCCAGCTGAAAAATCGTTTGTTGACAGCTTCAGTGACTCCATTTGAACTGAACTACACCTTGACAAGCTTCCCAATATTTCTGATACGCTTCCTTTGAAATAATCTCTTGACAGACCAAGAACCGTCAACTTACAAAGATTTCCCAATGAGTTTGGGATTTTCCCTTTAAGTTGATTAGCAGACAAGTCAAGATTGACAATGGCTGTCAAGTTTCCCATAGAACTTGAAATTTCACCTCGCAAAAGATTCAAATAAAGGGATAGGGACTCAAGATTGCTACAAGTGCACAACCATTGACGTATGGTACCCCAGATGATGTTCAACCTGAGATTAAGAACTTCAAGCCTTGTCATGTTTGCAACACCAACTGGTATTTGATTGAGTTCACAATCGGACATATGCAACTCTACCAACATAGAGGGGAGTGTGTTTGTCACCTGAAACCAATCAGATGCTTTGCTAAGATCTACATGACTCATGTCCAGGTTATGCAAGCTTGAAAGACCAGAAAGCCATTGGAGATTCTCAACCTTCATCCAGTAGTAGCTTTTATTCCGGAGTCCTAGAGAGCATAGACTCAAGAGATTTCCCAATTGATGCCAAATTATTCCAGCGAAATATTTGAGTCTGAGAGGTTATGATATCTTAAGCTTCTAAGAGAACCTACGAACCTAGGAATCTGTATTCCTCCAAAATCCTTGTTGCTTAGATCCAAGTAGCTCAGATGCTTTAAATTTAGTAGAGAAGTATTTACCTTGCCACCCAAAGAGTTTTCTTGATACAAACTGTAATTCAAATACTCATCTGAATAATAATTTCCAAGGTGAAACTCACAGACATGACCGGTTAAATTGTCGCATACAACTCCAGTCCAATTGCAACAATCTCCCTCACCAACCCAAGATAAAAGCCTATTTGAAGGATCCTTAAGATCTTGCTTGAACATTAGAAGTGCTTGTCTCTCATTTTGTTTACAAGGAACACCCAAATTTCTATTGCATAAGCTAATGGTAGTAATGGTTGCAATGCTTAGAAATCTAAAAACTGAAACATTTCTCATGGCTTTGTCCATGAGGTTATATCTTAATAGGTGATGTGTGTGAGCAATATAACTCATTTAGAATGGTGCAATATATACACATACTACTACACTATAACTGAGAGTGAAGGTCCAAACTCAATATTTTATTCAAAATCATTTTCAAAAATGTTGAACAAAGTCGTTGAGTATGTAGACAAAGCTATATGGCCACAACTGACAAAAGGGATCAGGGAAATTAGTAATTGCTTGTACATATGGCTTCCACCTTCCATTCCACCTAAATAAAATCACACTATTTCCCTGCATTGTGCAAAGCCACATGCTAAAGTCACTTTGCCTGCTTGCTTAGTCACAAAGCAGAACAACTTTGTACCACAAAAATAACTTCAGTATTATAGCTCTACCTCTACCATTATTTTTCTTTTTTGATGCATGGACTAATCTGTCATGCAGAATCCTTTGCCCCATGTACCTGCACCACATGCATAACAAACAAAACCAAAATGCAGGTTTAAGCAGCAATTAGTATAAGATTTTCGAGAAGATTATGTATATATGATATGTTTTCCAAGTATACTTGCCTTCCAAGCATCATGACAGTAGCTTCAGGATTCACACCCGGAGTGTGATACAACGTTGAACCATCAATAACCCCCAGAGAATCAATACCAAGAACTCCTTATCCTTTATCAACAACCCTCCCAACTTCACACCCTCCATGATAGTGCCATATGATCTGTTGGAAATTTTGGAAATAACATATATTATTAAAGCCTTAAATTTTGGAAATTTTGCAAAATACATACAGTTTAGGACATTCTTGCAATGAATCTAGATGGGAATTCCAAATTTCCACAATCATCATACCTTTGGTGAAAAAAAACTATCAGATAGAAAATAGGGAGCAGAATCTTCAAAACAATAACAAAAAGGGAATCTTGGGTGGGAATCACAGACAACGATTGCAAAAAATAGGCCGACCAGCGCCTAGGCCGATTTTTCCAACACTGTTCAAAACTCCTACAAACTATTTCAGTTGTTCTCAAATGATCTATAACTCTAATTAACGAGCACAAAATGACATACATATGGGAATCACAGAAAACGATTGTGAAAAATCGGCCGCCGAGCGCCTAGCCGCCTAGGCGGCCTCTTAGGCAGATTTTTCCAACACAGTTTAAAACTCCCACATACTATTTCAGTTGCTCTCAAATGATCCATAACTCTAATTAACAAGCACAAAATGACATACATATATATATATATGCATAGTTCGAGTATGAAATTACCACAATGGCATCGATGTCATCCTCAGGTGAGAGCTTCTGGTCTCTCTGCGAGCTCTCTTTTCCTCAGCTTCCGCTGCTTTCTCTTTGCCTTTTCCTGGCTTTTTCGTCTTCTTCCCCATGTCTGGAAACACAGCCAAAGAGGCTTGGATTCGGCACGAGAAAGAAGAGAGAGAGTTACCTGGACGACGCTAATACTACGATTTTTATTCTTTAAAAATCGTATAGCCGAACGGCTATACTATGCGCCAGAGCCAGGCCTTTCCTTTAAAAAAAATAATGTATAGCCTCCCGGCTGTACTTATATTAAATATAATATACCTAAAGAGTATTTCCGTGAGGCTATACTATGGTTTTTTATTATTAAAAAAATCATATAACAGTGCGGCTATACTATTTTTGACACGTGGCAAAACGGGGGCTAGCTGCCATGTGGTTGGTCTTTTATTATAAATTGTATAGCCCGCGGTTATATGATTTTGTTGATAATAGAAAACCGTAGTATAGCCTCGTGGCTATACCCCTTAAGTATATTATATTTAATGAGTATAGCCGCACGCGTATACTATTTATAATTTTAAAAAATAACACGTGGCGAAACGGGGCTAGCTGCCATGTGGGTAGTCTTTTTTATTATAGTATAGCCGCTTGGCTATACTTGAAGTTTTGTTTTTCAATTGGGGTAATTACATTTTTGGTCACTGGGGTTAGGCCTGAATTTAAATTTGGTCACCGAAATTTTAATTTTCCAATTTTCGTCACTATAGTTGTAGTCGTTAACAAATCAAGTCAATTTCATTAATTCTGTTAGTTAAGTTTAAAAAGTAAATTATAAAAAAGTAATTTTTTTGGGACTACATTTTTGTTCTGAGGAAAGTTCCTTAGTCGGTGATAGCAAATCCAGCATAACATCACACCTTCCTGACATCACCGACCTCTACCCAGCCACCTTATCCCAGCCAACCACCACCGCCAGCACAACATCCCAGACACAAAATTCAAAAGACATCTCAACCCACCCAAATTCAAAGAGAAACGAAATCAAAATTAATTCCTATTGTTACAAAATTCAAAACCCAAATATAATTAACCCCAAATATTCAGAAAAAAATTCATGTAACAACGCTTCTATTTAATGGACCAAACAAATAGTATAGTCTGTCGTGCAGCTATACTACTGTTTTTAGAGCACTTCCACCCATTTGTTATGGCAAAAGGCAAAGGCTGTTACTATTCATGTGAATAGTGGCAGTCGTTGCAAAAGGCTTGTGGTGTTTCCACCCATTGTCATGGAAACCCAAGGGCAACTACTATTCACATGAGATATGAGGAGAGGAATTTGTATAGATTTTTGGTGTGGGAAGTGAAGAATATGACTAAGTATTTATTTTAAAAAATTCTGAAATTTTTTGGTATATTTTTAGATTTTTTTTCATTAATTTTTTTGTTATTGTTTCTGACGTTAGCAAACCCAGGCAACAGCCCATGCTGTTCTTGTCTTTGGGCCAACTCAAGCTTGTGGAGCCCACTAGCTACTCGGGCTGCATTTGCTCACTACGACATCGAACTAGGACTTGGGCCCTCTCCTGCTCGGGCCACAACTACAGCTGGAAGTGCTCTTATTATTAAAATGGGCGCTAGCCGCTAGGTGGGGCTTCTAATTTCTTATAAATAGTAAAGCCGCCGCGCTATACTATTTAGGCTATACTATTTTTCATTTTTTCATAAATAGTATAGCCGATGGGCTATACCGTAGTCTTTTATTTTTTTAAAAAATAGTATAGCCACCGGCTATACTCTTTATATACTAGGATCCCTTTTTTATTTTATTTTTATCTCGTTTCCCCTGCACCAAATCCGTGTATGACAAGTATCAGCGTCCCAAACTGAAGGATTTTAGTCCATTTTGGTGAGAGCAATAACGCTTGTGATGTGGCCAAAAGTAAAGCAAGAGCTTGTAATGTTGGAGTCAAACTAAATAGAGAATTAATTGAAATAAACATTTTCAGGGTCGTTATAACTTTTGAAGCTCATATGGTCTCAGATCAGAAACACTATGGCAAACAGTTATAATGTTACTTAATAATGCTCATTAAAATAAAATAAAAACTGCACTATAACTAAATACAATTTAATTCCATTTGTAACCCAGTTACCTGAGCATCAAAGTCTTCAACTTAGCTGAGGCTCATTGCTCTTATATAAATCCTTACCCTCTTCTCTCCAACCATCAACAAAGCCAATCTACCTAACCCTTTTCTGATATAGTGCAAAAGTAAGAGTTCCAGGTTTGCCAATAACCATGTCTAGAAAAGTTGAAGCAATATTTTCACTACTGCTAATGGCAGCATGTGCTGCAACTGGCCTGGCGCATGTACCACCCCCACCAGTATTGCCTCTCTTTCCACCTATCCCAGGCCTATTGCCACCAGGGATCCCAGGGTTGCCGCTGCCAGGGAACCCAGATGACATAGCTAAGTGTTGGTCTTCACTTCAAAACGTTCCAGGGTGTGCATGGGAAATTTATACCTCAATCTCTACTGGTAAATTTGTAGTAGGCCCTGCTTGTTGCAAGGCCTTCCAAGCAATTGACCAGAATTGCTTGCTGAAAATGTTCCCTTTCTTTCCTTCATTTCCTCCATTGATCAACAGTAACTGTGCAAATGCTGCAGCTCCAAAAGCAGGCGGGTCAAAGCAGTAATATGCAGTTGAGAGGATAGTTCTCAGAGGAAATAAGTTGATTCTGTTTTCAATTAAGTCACATAGTCATGCAGAGTTTTTACCTTCTGGTGCCATTTAAGTTGCTTTGGTTTTGGAGGATTCAGGATTGTGATATGGTGAAAATAAACTATCAGATAGAAAATAGGGAGCAGAATGATCCATAAAACTTCCACAAACTATTTCAGCTGCTCTCAAATGATCCATAAATCTAATTAACAAGCACAAAATGACATATATGTATATATATATATGCATAGTTCGAGTATGAAATTACCAAAATGGCATCGATGTCATCCTCAGGTGAGAGCTTCTGGTCTCTCTGAGAGCTCTCTTTTCCTCAGCTTTCGCTGCTTTCTCTTTGCCTTTTCCTGGCTTCTTCATCTTCTTCCCCATGTCTAGAAACACTGCCAAAGAGGCCCAGACTCAGCGAGAGGAAGAAGAGAGAATTATCTGGATGACGCTAATATTATGATCTTTATTAAAGATAGTATAGCCGCAGGGCTATACTATGTCCCAGGCGGATCCTTTTTGTTTGTGAACAGTATAGCCGTTCGGCTATACTCGGTTTTTAATAATAAAAAAAACGTATATCCGCTAGGCTAAACTCCTTTTTTTGTTTTTTTTTTAATAAAAAGAGTAAAGCCGGTCGGCTATACTATTAAGGTTGAGTGGTTTATTCTTCTAGGATGGTATTTTTGTGTACAAGTATACAACAAAAGGAAAGTAATTACCATCCCATCTAATACGGGAATCCTATAATTATACTGGATTACAATTCCTGATTTTAATCAATTAAATGATTTGCGCCAACATTCTCTCTTCAAATGTACACGTGAAAAAAAAAAATCAAGCTATTTTGAGACTTTCTAATAACATAAACTTCTTGCATAAGTCTGATTACCTTGCCATAGTTTGCAAAGTTTTGTTTTAGGATGTACTCAACATTTGCAGGATCTGTGGTGATAACATAGTTTATGAACAAGTTAAGCGCCCTAAAAGTTTTGTGTTTGTATCCAAACTCAGTCATGTAATCGTGCAGCCTAAAGAAGTTCATTACAGTGTTTAAGAAGTTTGTGACAACATGATGGTATCTCTTTTTGCTCTTAGTGCCCAATCTTCTAGCATGGGACTGATCATAATTGTAGCTAAAATTACTGCTAAACTTATTGCTATGGGAGGCATCGGAGTGGAAAGAAAATCCATGACACTGAAGACAAAAGTCGAGCACATAGTGAATATTAGAGCATACCTCGAGGAATTTCTTCCATAAGGGTGCTTGCTTGATGACGGTGCTTAACTTCTCATCAGATACCAAAATTACAGCTCTCATATGGTCTTACATATGAAACATTTCATTGAAAACAAGTAGACACATGCCTTTCCTCATGAAAACTACACCCTAACTGTCTTTTCATGATTCTCATTAGAGTGATTCTGTAAAGCGCATGCCTTTCTGTCTAGATATCGTTATTCAACTGATACAAGACCAATACTACTTCCTCCATTACAATTTACATCTGGTGATCCTCTCACAGAAAATTCAAGAAGAACCCCATCGATTTCAATCATGCTACAGCCCGGGACCTCCTTTTTTATCCCTGTTTATTTCATTAGCCCAACAAAAATGTCACATGGTTCGGCTTCACCCCAGTTGTTTCCATCTGTCTAAAAATATCAAAAGCCTCATTGCCAAATCCATGGAGAGCCAGCACTGAAATCATAGCTGTCCATGCCAAAGTATCCTTGTAGGGCATTTCCTGAAAGACCTCATATGCTTTGTCCACACATCCGCACAACGACCACATCACTCGCTAGGCAACTTCTCCTCAGGTACCCATGCACCCATATCCCATGATCAAATGCACCAAGATGAGCACAAGCTGCAAGGACACTTGCAATCGTCATCTTATAACTATCCGGTCTAACCATATCACCACTGGTGATCTGGCCTCCTTTGGCCGACCACCTTAAACAAACAAGGTCAAGCAATATGTACTACAATCACATTGATCGATAACAAAAGTTCAGCAGAATACCTCTTCTGTATCAATCACCTCCCAGTGACCATCTTCTGAAGATTCGATATAAACCCTTTTATGTCCTGGGTCATATGCATTACAAGGGTCCAAGAAAAGCCAGTATCTATTGTATCTACGATCAGACCCCAAAAACACAGATTGCATTGGGTGCAAGTCAAACCGCACTTCTCTTTCTTTTCCATTTTTCTCTTTTGTAGAGAATCTCTCGTCAGAGAACTTTGAGATTGATCCTGAAGAATTAATCTATAGGGTCAAACTTTAATGTATAATCTTCTTCTGCACCACTCATATGTCCTGCATGGAACCAGTAAACAAATAATTCAGATGGAATCACAAATTCCATATTACGATTAGGA